AACTGGTGATACTATAAAAACAGGAAAGCTGAGTTAAGGTGGTTTGCAGTTTCAATAGAATCCCACATTACATAAATGCAGTTCTTCCACCTGACTGCATTTTTAATGCAGTGGTATCCAGAACAATTAATATTTTTTTGGAGGTTTTTGCTTGTTTGTTTAAAAAGTGCATGAGAGAGTTGCCTATTATGTTTTTACATTAGAAGCTGAAAGCTGAGTAAACTGTCTGCAGGCGTGAAGAAAATTAAGCAGCACACTTGAGCTAGCAGTTTTAGTAAAAATCTGGCTTCTACTTATTCTCTCATTGGTATGAGCCTCAGAAGTTTAAGATGAAACAAGACTATGGTAAGGCAGTTCCAAAAGAGAGGGAAAAAAAGAAGCTGGAATTACCCCTCTGCCAACAAGATGTAACAAAGGCCACCTCAATCTGTTAGATGACACTGGAACCCAAGGGGTATCTGAAATGGATGCTAACAGGAGGGAGGGGAGAGAAACCCAAATCCAGAAAGTGCAGAACAGAAAACTTCCTTCAGGGATGAGCAGCAGAGGAGAAAGAATAGAGCAAATCTTCTTCCCACTGAAGAGGCAGATTATTGCTGCTGATGGCCAAACGTGGAAGTGCTGCAGTAAAAGGCAGCCAAGCAACAGGGAGTGAAAACAACGATCCGACTGCTCATTTTTTATATTTCTAAAGGTTTTTGTATTATATCCACTTAGGCATCAATCACAACTTTATTAAACCACAAAACAGATGTCAGTTCAATGGCTGTATCGGAAACATTCTGAATGACAGGCTGATGATGGAACAATTCCAGCCTCCATACATTATTAAACACATACTAATGCTGCTCTTTCAATGCTGCCCTTACAGGCTCAATCACTCTATTCTCCCTCTATGGTACCTTTTTTAACAACAGACCTAATTGCAGATGAATATTACATAGGAAAACCAAGACTTACTGTAATAAATAATGATACTAAACTAGTAAACAAAAGAAAAATTTCCATGTTAAAACTGGTTGTCAGTCTTCACATTATGTCTTCTGGCATTAAAATTTTATTTTAATACAATTGTAGGAGCTGAGGGTGAGGGTCACCTCACTCAGAATATGCAGAGTTACTGCCTTTTTGCTGTAATCTTAACAAAATTTATGCTTAGGTTTTCTTTACATGCCTGCCCAAAGCCAGTGCACAAGTATAAATGCTTTCTGCTCTTTTTGAGTGAAGAGGTAATATGATAAATACATATAAATATGGCAGAAAGAATTTGTCTGGCAGATTCCAGATTCTACCCCTCTGCTTAACTCCAGATTTCAGGCAGATTGAGGAGGTGATTAGAGCAGCACACCTGCCTCTCAATTCATCAGTAATATAAACTGTATTTTCACTAGTAAAAATGAATTCGATTTTCATAAGGGCAGAGAGGAATTATGTTCTTGGTGGACGAAGCACAAGGCACAGTAAATGGGAGATGCAAATGCTGTACAAAAATCTATCACAGAAACACAGGGTCGACTTGCCACAAACTGCAGATCGTTACTCCTCTCTTCCTCTGTGTCCTATACTATCCTTTGGCCTGGAATATTTGCTGCAGCTGTATGTTTTCTGCTGTGGGCAGTGAAATCAAGTGAAGATGGATCTGGGTTCTTCACTTGCCCTGGCATCTTGATAGCCTTCGTGCATCCTCCTGATTAAGGAGTGTTTAGTATAGCAGAGATGTCTGATTTTATGCAGACAATTCAACAATAGATAAGAAATGAAAATATTAAAAAAAAGAGAATAAAATAAAATACACATTCTTTGGGGGGCTCTGGAGAGAAAGAAAACTTTCCTAAACAAAATTCTTTGTGCTTTCTGGTCTGTGCTTACTGCAGCCAGTTACTGAAGGCTTCCCATAGCAGAAGGGAAAGGCAGCTGGCTGTGAATGTGTCTGTAGGAAAACTGCTCTGTTTTGGCTGCTGAATTGGATGGTCCCAGCTGGAAGCAAGCAGCCCTGCCAGCATTTAGCGAGAAATGCCCTGCCAGGGCTGGTGATTAAAAAGCGCAGGCAGGGATGAAGGCAGCTGCCCCCCCCCAGTTCCTATGAGTTTTAAAGTGTGCTTCAGGACTAAGAGATCAAAACTCAAGTGCAGTTTCTGGTGTTGAGGCAGGAGTTGGCAGAGGCCACTCTTACACAGGTAATTTGCCTCACTGAAGGGCTAAAGAGTGCTTCTCCATGAAGAGTCACTCCTGTGGAATGGCTCCAGCCTGGGCATAGTATTTTAATGTTTTAGAGAGCATCCAAAGGCAGAGTAAGTCCCACAAGATATGAGGCATGCATAGGCCCTTATGCTATTCCTCTAGCTTACTCACTAGATAATAGATTTTCTGTTGAACCGGTATTTTAGAAACCCAGCATTCATCCTGAATCGGGCAGGTTTGGAAGTGGGTTTGAAGTCAACTCGCACTTAAGTGACCACAGAGGTCTGCTTTGGCTGAAAAATATGTTATGTTAATTAGCAAAATGGTTTGTCTAAGGAAGTGAACGCATGAAAGCCTTTTAAAACAAACTGCTTTACATACTGCAAGCTTTTAAATTAAATTGGGACAGCTACAGCCAACACTGAGCAGAATTGTTTGTGACTTTCTGGTTTGTTTGCCTCAAAAAATCTGCCTGGTCTCTTGAATGGCAGCTAGTGGCTCTTTATGGCACCCTCTTGCACAGTTTTAAGGATAAAATTAAAAAATATATTCAGAACATAAACATATAGTTTTTGTCTTATAACTCACATAAAACTTAGTCCTGCTGAGGCATTCATAAGAGCATGGTTTGGACTCTGTTATTTGTAAAGGCTTTATGCTCAATGCTTCTGTCTGAACTGAAATTCAGACTTCAGAATAAATGAAGTAAAATTATGTCTAAATAAATCATATGTCTAAATAGGTTGTCCCCTCCCTTCACATAGTTTTTCAGTAACAGAACACATTAGGAAGATACAATTTCAAGTCAGGATGGATACATCCAACAAAACTGCTATCGGCAGCCCAAATCCTGACACTCTCCCTTTAATTCCTGACAGGAGGAATACCTGATGACCTCCATGATTATCCTGCTTGCATGAGGAATTTAACTGAATATGATGCTGGTGGTGTTTTTGCCAAAAAGAAATCCTATATGCAATAAAACAGGGTGTCATCTGAGATTTATGAAAAACCTGTGGATATTGTAACAGCCATCAGTCATTTACTCTTTCTTGCCCTTTACGTTTTGTGTAAGAGTTAGGAGTTTTAAAGATGCTAAACATAAATCTATATGGTATATATATTCTGAATGTATTTCATAAGTTATCAGGGAATGCTGTGATCTTGAAAGATAAGACTGTGTAAAGAGCTAGGAAAAGGAAGGAAATATCTCCTTTCAGTTGCAGTGAAATAAATTCAGGATCTTATTATTGCCCTCTAGATCACTCACTGCCTTTCAGAGTCCATTCCCTGCCTCCCCAAATGATTTGTTACTATAACCATTGTAATAGTGTCACAAGAGAACATTACCTGGGACTTTCATAGCATTAAGACTGCAAGAAAATGATCACAGAAGACAGTGTGCACAAGAGTTGTAGAAATTAAAATGATAGACAGAAGGAAAAATTCATAGCAGCTGCCCAGCAGCCCAACCATTTTCCATTTTCTTGTCTTAATTTCTAACCACACTTTTGAGAGGCAGCAATTACATATGCAGAAATTCTCATGAGTCCTCGTGCTTGCTGCGATTTCATGTCTTCAGAGGAAAAATGCTGATATTAGATTTGAGATGCAATTCCTACATCTTTTGACTATTGAATTAAATATTTAAAATAACAGGAATAAACAATAAATCATCATCTTTAAGTTTTGTCAGAAATAAAACCACAAGTCTCAGATCTTAGAGTTTTTTTAAATAAGGTGGAAAGAAACTGGAGTTAAGTGGCTAAGTGGACACAGGGGTCTAAGTAAGCCTGTACAGATGCAACTTCACTCAGTACCTATTAAATTTTTAAAAAAGGTTGGAAAAAGATGCTCTATCGATTAGTATCAAGTAGTAGACTGGAGAAAAAGATAAAAATTTTAAATACATAATAGATCTTTCAAGTAATTATTATGTAAAGAGCATGTGTGATAAAGACATAAAAGTGTAATGCTTATGCCTGCATTTTCTTAAAAATATACATGTGCATGCAGTGTGCACACATTCACATATCAAACCACCGCTCATTTTGTGAAGGCCTTTGTACTTTTCAAAGAGTTGTAATAATTTTTATTGAGAGTATTTTTTTACCTTTCTCTGACTCTGGGGGTGTTACTTGAATCTGACACAGCTTAAAGAGAAAATAATTGTTGAAATATGCATATTTAAATATAGTATACTGGAAACACAGCTGACCTTGACCCAAAATCACATTTCTGAGCCTGGAGCAAATGATGGCTGCTACATGATGCCTGGAGCATAGCTGGCTGCTATGGTTTAGAATTGAGTAGTGGATCCTACCATGAAGCCAGAACTCCCATTTCCTAGAGGAATAAAACTTTCTAGATTGACATAAAAGAAATTTCTGATTAAAAAACTAATATTTACACGAGAATTAGTACAGATAATTCCTGCTAAGTACAGAGTAGAATTTTGTTGACCCGCTGCTTTAATACTCATACTACTTCATCATTTTTGTCCTATAATACCTAATGCTGACTGTATGGCTGTTTTAGAAACATATCTGTAAACACATTTGCATGACATAGCAATATGAGGATATTGTTTGTGTCATACATTATGTTTCCATTGTAATGAAAAACACTTTGATATCTTTGCTCAGACAGGGCCAGAAATCTCTGGATATGGAGAAAAATCAAAGTAAACCATTGCAATATTAAAATGGCAAAAAGGTGAAGCACTGAAAACCGGAGAGCAATAAATTACCTTGAGAAACTCAGTTAAGTAATGAATGTTTTGCAATACAGTAAGTAAATAGTATAATATATGTTCTTACAGTTCCCGTTGTGCCCAAGGAAAGGTGGTTCATCTGTTGGGTCAGAGGGCCCATCATACTTGCGGGCTGCATTGACATAGTGTGGTCCATTGTCGGCGTTATCACAGCACCCTAGAAACACACATCGTTTACACTTCAACATTTCACTTAAAAAGAAAGGAAAAAGGCAGCATTCTCTAAATGAGTGAACCTGACTGAAAACTTGACAGGAATCTTGAGACTAATATACTTGTCAGAGGAAATATGTTTTGTTCCTATTGACAACCAAGCTACCCACATGTATTATTTGTACCACTAATGAGGCCATTTTATGTTGGTTCCAATTAAATGTCAATTTTTACTTCATCGCTTCTGACAAACAAATGCATATATTCTTTCTATGATGAAGGCTACTGCACATTGCAAAATGCCTGTCATTTCTTTTTTTTCATATTGTATATAGAACAATCTTACAGACAAAACACGTATGTTCCCAATTTCCTCAGACTTCTAAAATCTTTAGTTTCTGAGATCTTCATCCTATTATAGTAATTATCTTGGATTTTTCCAGTGTCAATTAAGAACCCTTACTCATGACACTTTATAGCCCATTAAGTAAGACCAGCTATTGACAGTAAGTTTGGTAGTGACACCCACTTAAAACACATACACAGTGTCTAAAAGCATTTTCCTTCTCCACATGAAAAAAAAGACATTAATAACAAGCAGCATATGAACTAAAGCCAGTGCAAGACTTTGAACAGAAATGAAACAAAAGACATACTAGAGGAGTTTTGGAGAAAGCTTCTCTGCCATTCATATTCCTGGCGTTTTGCTCTCCCACTCCCCAAGGTACCATGTTAGTAACACCATGCCTTAGTGAAGTGTTGATTCTCTTCAGTTTTATGGTGTAAAATACTAATTCCCATGTTGAGAAAGTCAGAAACAGTAATCCACTCTCTTTCTTGTAGATAGTGAAATAAGGAGGCATTTCAGCCATTTCTGCCTACCAAATAATATCTCTGCTTTGTGCATATGTATGTTTGTATGCACACATTATAAATTTGCACAATCACATTATGTCTACTACAAAGTGTGGAAAACACAGCTGAACATATTTGCTTAATAAAAAAAGAAAACTGACATTTTTTTTTTCCATTAAGATTACTGACAAAATCCACAGCTGAACAGGAATTTTAAATAAACTAGTTCCAAAACCCTCAGAACACCTGTTCTTACGTGTCTTTCTCCCCTTTATTAGTGCACAGCTATGTGAGTGCATTGCCGAGGATCTGATAAGATGCAAAAGATTTCAAATTTTCAGTCACAAATAAAAAAATAACCAAAAATAAAAAATGCTGGGGAAGTACCAATTAATTTTTTCTCACCTTCCAGCAATATTTTGTCTATGTGCATCCTATCTGAGAAGTAGGTTCTTCAGTCTCTGTGAACTCATTATTTGCATGCAATGGTAAAGAGGAAGTAGGCTCAGCTTGGTCAGTCCTTTTTGAAATACCCTTAGCATATGAAATACATACATGCTTGTTTTATGTCTGTCCTGGGTTCAGCAGTAGCAGTCATGTTTCTCCTTCGTGGTAGCTGGTGCAGTGCTGTGTTTTGACTTCCAGCCTGGGAGCAGTGCTGGTGATACCGATGTTTTCGGTTGTTGCTAAGTGATGTTTACCCTGACCAAGGACTTTGTGAGGCTCATGCTCTGCCAGGGAGGAGGGGAAGCCGGGAGGAAGCAGAGACGGGGCGCCTGACCCGGGCTAGCCAGGGAGGTATTCCATACCACAGCACGTCATGGCCGGGGTGGGGGGTAACTGGGAGTTACCCGGAAGGACACGGGCTTCCGGGTGGGACTCGTTTCTTGGCCGGTGGTATCGTATTCTCTTCCCTTGTTATTTTCTCTTATCATTGCTGTCGTTGGTGGTAGCGGTGGTGATCTGTGTTGTACATTGGTTGCTGGACTGTTCTTGTCTCAACCCGTAGAAGTTGCACCCTTTCGATCCTCCTCCCCGTTCCTCCGGGAGCGGGGAAGGGGAGAGCCCCGTTGGGGGGGGGGGGCCTCGATTGTTGTCAGCCCGGCACCACTCACTGGGAGTGAGTGACTGGGTTTAAACCACGACAACGTCTCACAGCACATTACATTCCTTGCACTGACAAGAGTCCCCAGAGAAATTTAGCAAATTATAGAAACTAGCCTCTATAGAATATCTGTCGTGATTCCAAATAAATGCTTATAAACCAAGCTGATCAACGTGCAAGTATCAAACCTGCAGTACTTGCAAAGACTTTGGCCTCTTTCTTGGCTATATTAAATTGCACTGGTTTACATTGATTAACCCACTGATTAAGTAATTCTAATGAACTACAACAAGGCTATCCTTCTTCTTGTTGGCACAGGTCCTTACAAATCAAGATAGTCACAAACTTTCACCACAAAATTTCTTACGGCATAGTAAAATTAATATTCTCTTCAAAAGCCCTTCTTTCTTGCTTACATGACATTTCTCTTTCATGCTTCTCTATTTTCCCTGAAAATCTACCCTTTTGCTGAAAGTCTGAATGCACATCTATGGGGCATACACTCACTCAACCCATTTGGCAGTCTTTGCATACTAGATTCAGTGCAAGAGTCTGAAGTAGCACCATACCCAAGGAAAACAATGTTCTTGCTGTATGTTCAAAATCAGTGGCCTGGGATACCACACAGTCAGAAGAGTTCTTGGTGTTTGGACACCCACCTGCACTTTTTGGTTATGGTAAGAAATTGTAAGCTTTGTGCAGACCAAATCTGTCAACTGATAAACAGTTATCAGTTTGCATTCTCCTTTGGCGTAGAGATGGGGAACTGCCTCAGGGCTTTCTGTGACAGACAAGGTGAGCTTCCACTTGTAAACTCAATGAGGGTAAGCAGAAAGTCACACCCACACCACAGCTTCATGCCGCCTTGCACTGCCAGCAGTAGTGGCTGCAATTAATTTAGGATGTCCAAGAGCCTTAAAACACCAAGCTTTCTTTGCAGAGATGTTTATTGCAAAGGTATGGTTGGAGGAACTTGCTGTGATTACAGACAAGACAGACTGATAGCTTTTCCTGTGTATAAATTCAGGAACTTGGAAATGAAGACAGGGCAGTGGTGAAGGAAAACCTATGATTTAGTGTAGCAAACACATGTGCCAGACACTCAGTGGAAAAATCTGATAGCAAATGTCTTTCAGTAAGTAAGAAGACATACAGGATTTGCAAATAAACTATTTTAGAAAATATGGACTTGAAAGGAAATATATCAAGGACAAAAAAAAATGCTTAAAGACAGTAAACATATTATTTTTAAATAGAAAATACATATATTCTAGTCCCTAAACACATACCATTTAATACATTAGGAAAAGAAGCTGGAAAAACAAATCAAGTTTTTGCAGCTTTCCTAAGACAGCTTAACATATTTGAAGTTGACAGCTACCTAGAGCAGAGAATCATATGCATTTGCCAGACCATTAATTCACCAGAGTTTGCAGAATCCTCTTGTGATCACATATGGAAAAAAAATTACACTTAATTAAGGAAATATCATCTGGTTGTTAGGGCAACACTCAGTCTCCAGACCATAAGGGCAACACTCAGTCTCCAGACCATAATGCATTTCATAATACATACTGTCAAGTACATTCATATTCAACTTATTTAGCTGTAAAAGACAACAATGTCTTGCATCAGATGTTGCCATCATATTAAAAGTAATTTGATTCTTTTTAGCCTATAACAGGTATTTTCTGATAATCATCCACTTGGCAACTGGCAAACATTTTTCATCTTCATCTGTTTGGATGTCTGATTTCACTGAGTTTATAAACTATAGAGAGAGACATCTTAGCATGGCATAACACTACTGAAGGCCCAGCTTAGTTGATAAAACCTGTAGAAGAAATTATGATGAAGTTTTTGCCACTGCCTTTGCCAAAAGAATTTGGCCTGCCAATTATTTAAGTATGCCCTGTTGTCTCAGCATGACTGATATTTTTTATACTTACTACAAGAAACTGTTTACTATAATGACTTTTAAATTTGGCAAGCTATTCTTGGCATATACACTTGTCATACTATTCTGTCAATGTTATAATGGCTTTAAAAGAAATTAAGATTAACAGGGCAAATGGTAAGGAATCAATAACAGAAGAAAAAGCACAATTTTAGCAACAGTTTGATAAACCCAAGATATATTCATTGAAATACAGACTTTAATTTCCCTTCACTTTATTTGAAAGACCTTGCTGTGCTAAAATGCTCTAAGCCCTATGGACATATTTTTCACGTAAGAAAATGAATATATTTATTTCAGAATATTTTGTAGTCCATTATTTGCAAACAAGAAGTCTGACTTCATCAACTACAAACACTGCCCACTCCCTATATGGCAACACACAGGGATCACAGGAAGGACACTAAATACAGCCTGTTTATTGCATTAAGTAAATTCCTTTAAATACTTGCCAATACCAAATGTCAAAAGGCAGCAGCAGAAATTAAGTTTATATTGGTACAATGACACATGCTTCAAAGGGTGGGAAAGTGACATCAGAAATAAAAAGCGTATTAGGAAGCTTTAGGAACAGAGAGGTCACTAGTTGAGAGATGCACTTGGGGGCCAGTGGTAGGAAGATTAGTCCCAGCTTTCTACAATAATAAACTGTAGTAAAGGCTTCTGTTTTATTACAGTGTTCTAATACTGATATTGGACTTACGGCACAAATACCAGCTGAATAAATAGTTTTTAAAGCTCTCAGTAAGCATCTGCTTATTTGACAGTTTACTTCTTTTTCTTTATTTAGGAAGTTTTAACAAGTTAAGCATACTTACAAATTTTAGTTTGTAAACACTGGCCAATGTAAAGCCAACAAACATTACAGCAGCAAACTTACTTTCCAGATTTGTTTATAGACACATTGTGCTGTTATATAAGCACCAGGTCATTCCATCTGAAAAGTTATTACCATACTACCAAACAAATGTCTTTATGTTATCGAGAACATGTTGTTTCTTGAGGCGTTATTAAACTGAGTGAAAGGATTACTTTATATTTATCAGACAGACATGTCTGTCAAGAATTAATGTGAAAAAACCCCAAC